TCAGTCATGACCTGCGTCAACTACCTGAAGCTGCCTGACTACTCCAGCATAGAGATCATGCGAGAAAAACTGTTGATCGCTGCCCGCGAGGGCCAGCAGTCGTTCCACCTCTCCTGATCTCGCCACATCTCAAATACAAATGCCTTCTTCAGCAACTGATTAAATCATTACTTCCTTAGTTTTGTTTTGTACTCTCACACATCGAGGCTATGGGGATAGCCTTCTTGTTAGAGAAAGCAGCTTGCAGAAAAGTTAAGACTTTAAATATATATTTGCTGCCCTCGTCTCTCCCAAAAAAAAAAAAAAAAAAAAAAATGGAAGCGTGTTTCCATGACACAGAACATAAGATATAAAAGAGAATACAACTTATATCAGTAGTGTTAAAAAGAAGAAAACATCTGGGTGACATTTTAAATTGCATTGCTATGTGATATTTAAAAGAAGAAAAAAAGAAAAAAGGGATTTCTCTTCTCCAGAGTGGTGGACGGCTTCCTGGGGAGGAAGGGCAGTGCGACTTCATTGAGCAGGCTAGGTTTACTTTAGCTCCAAAGATCATTTGTACAGACAAATTTGCAAACTTTGCTCATTCTACACATTTGATAGAATAGTTCTTTGTTTTCATGTCCTCCCCACTCAGTTCAAACGTTGGCATTTTGTTCTGTATTATATCTGCCCCCAGTCCGTGTGCATTTTTTTTGGTTCGGCTTCCTCTCCCGTGTGTCTTTGCTTCCAGATGTGAGAGATGCTGTCGGTTGAATGCAGGTAGTGATAAGATCATATTACTTTTTTTTTTTTTTTTTTCTTCTCCTCCCCCAAAACACCATCAACCTGAGTTGGGACTGTGTTCTGGCCTCCTTTATTATAGAAAGCTTCAACTTAAAGGAAGAGTTGTAACCTATGTGTTGACCAGGTGAATTTGTTTTGCTCTTATTTTGATAGAGTTAGTGTCTGTTCTGTTCGGCCCTTCTGGATGTTTAGGCTGACGTTGGTAGACCAAGCTCTGAGCAACCTTCAACACATAAAATGTAGCTGGGCACAAAAAGACAAAAAAAAAAAGAATTGGCTGGTCTCATTTTATCGTTTCTTGGCCAGATAGCATTTCAAGTTCATTTATTGAATAAAGTATATATGCAGTTTCATACCATGTTTGAGGTGGGAATGTCTGCTTTACCATTTTTTTTTTAAATTTTCTATGATGTCTTTTTTTTTTTTTTTTCCCCCTCTCGCTGTAGTTGATTTTTTTTCTTTTCTTTGCACTGCTGGCTTGGAACAAACCGTGGTGTGCACTTGCAGTCTGTGGCCAGGGGAGGGCGCCACTGTATGCTCTCCTGGCCCAATCGTTCATGTGCTGGTTTCTAAGATCTGCAATAATTTACTTGCATCAGGTTCATGTTTTTACCTGAACATAAATAAAGTAACTGTTTGACTCATTGGGTTATAGTTTTGATTCCCCCCATCCTGTTTGCTTTGCCTCTTGTTTAACAGAAGAGTTTTAGTTAGAAATTAATTTACTCCTTTGTTTTAGACCTACTTGCATAATAAGGGTTATTAAACCTCTGTAGGTTTAATACCTGTACTGGTTTGAACCCTTTCCCTGCTTCTTTGTTCCAAAACCCCAAGCCCAAACAACAAAAGTCTTAACTACGATTAAACCTTGCATAACGTCTTAATGGGTGCTGCAACGGTGAACCATAAGTTAAAATCGAGGTTACTTTTTCTTTTACCCGCATAGACTGTTCTAAGAAAATTGTTAAATTAAAATAAAGAAATAAGACATAATCTGATCAGATCCAGGCTGCACGCTGGCCTTAACCAGGAGTCTTAACTTGACCTACCAGAGACTTTCTTTTTTTTTCTTTGCATCTCAAACTGGATTATGAGCTGGAAAATTTGAAACTTAAGGAAAATATTGATGTAACATTAACTGTAGAAGCTTCATCATTCTGTTGGGTTGCCCTCCAAAATCCTTTCAGTGTTTATGATGTAGATTCAACAAGGTGTTTAGAGATTTCAGTCTGTGTCGTACAGATCGTCTCCTGCTCCCATGGCTGTAGAACTGGTCCCAGCCTCTGCACTGAACACATTATACTAAATACACTTAAGTGCTTGCAAAGAAACTAAAAACTGATCAGGACAATTTTTCCTACATATATACTTAGGTATTTAACTTATTTCAGGAGTCTGAAACCTGCACTTATTAAAGGATAAGCAACAGACCTGTTTCTTTGATTCTGTGGCCGCTGTAGCTCCAGTGGTAAATTTGATCTAAACCTGCCCCGGTCTGTTCCTGAAGAGCACTGTTGGATGGGGAAATGGGGATGAGTATTGTAGTACAGTGAGAAGGTCAATATCCTGCAGTTTGCATGTATCCGTTATGGCCACACTGCTCGGGTAGATAGTGGTTTTTAAACGATAACTAAAGGAAAAGTGGATTAATTCTGTTTTAAATTCCCAGCATCGCCTTGCTGCCGCCAACCATTGAAGCTGATAGACCAAGTAATCCATCTCTGATTCCTTATAATCCAAATATGGTATTAAACTGTAGCCTCAGCCTCCTGTTCTGGGCTTTCTCCTGTGGTGTTTATGCTGCTTTAAGTTAGACATGTTCAGCAACAGTACCCTGCAACCTTTAAATCTTAAGATGTCTGTTTTAAGATTGAGCTTTCTGCAATTGTGAACAATTCTGCTCACCCTTCTTTCACATTTAGGCATTTCAGTCCACAAAGCAGCAGCTTCAGGATCCATTCAGTAAATAAAAGCCATTCCACCTTCACAATCACCTAATTCTCCCAATTCAGAGGCTCTGTTTAAATATCAGCAGGGCCATGATATTGGCTTATTTGTTGTTTGAACTGATGTACTTAATAAAGTGGCCAGTAATTGTTGGTGTAAAGAAAGAACCATTCTTTATTTGGGGATGTAGAACAAAAACAAACCCAAATAATACTTCCTTTATATACAGACCATGAATCCTGAGACTTAATTATTAATAATAATCAAGTCAGCAATATATAAGGACTGCAGAAGACAAAATGCAAATTTTACCATTAATTTCATTTGTTGAATTTTAATGCAGAATGACTAAAACCAGTCTTTGTCTTTATGAATTGTTGCAACCTTTATTATACTTTTCAATCCAGGCTTTGATGGTTTTCTTTCATTTGTCTGATTGCTAAACTTTTACAATATGACAAACTTTTTCACAGAACTGAACACTGAGCTTGGTGAGGCCACAGAAAAATGAAACCCAGGGCTCATTCTGTAGCTGTACAACTTTGTCCCAAATGGAGTTTGGGCCTGAACACCGAGGCATCTCAGGAGAGAGCTAATAATAGCTCCACACTGACACACTCCATCCACTCAGAGCATGAATGTCTGAACGAGGACAATGGGAGAAAAAAATAAATAAAGAAACAGGCTCATGCATCTTTTCCCTGGTTTCATCTGTTATAAAAAAAAAACAAAACAATCTTCATATTTGATGATCACCACAGCTTTTTAAACATGTCTGTATATCTTTGGATGTTGACCTTATAATTCTATGCAAACAGCCTGTTTATTGGTTTTTGTGCGTCAGTCTCCACACTGCCCCCTATCGCACAGTCAGTGCAAATCCTCATGCACATGACTTGGCAGTAAACAAGAAATACAGAGTATTTTGGGAATATCAGTCTCTTTGATGCAAAGATTTTCAAAGTAAAGCCTGAGTGATCTTTAAGTGCTTTAAAATATTTTAATGACACAGAAGAATCTTCTTAGAATAGAAAATGAATGAAATAAGCAGAATTAGCCAAACCATAAGCCTAAATTTTGATTTCATAATAAATAAAGCCACAAATATTCACCCATATTGACTCCAAAGCAAATTTAGACGCACTATTAATCCAGCTAGGCTAGCTGTACTAAAAGAAATTAATAAAGGGACTCAAATCCTGATCATGTTTATAGAAAATAACACAAGGATTGTGGAAACTGTAGCTCCGTCAAAACACATTTAATGCTTCAGACTAGCTATCATTAATAGATATAGTTTTATTCAGCATTTAAAAAGTGGCCTGTTTAGTTGTTGAAGAGAAGGGGAAAAAAATAAGGATTTTGGTAAAAAAGACTAAATGAGATTCAGTCTTATTTAGATGTAATAGGTTGTATTTATCAGTTAAATCTATTCTGAATGGCTCATCCAGTTGTTTTTTGACACATTACAAGGTCCTTTGCATTCTTTTTTTTTATTGGCCGGTAGATGAATTCCCTTTTTCGCTGTATCAGCCTTATTTTTTTAAACTTACGAGTTTTGGGGGATTTTTTTCTGGTAGATGAAATTTACACTCACATTGACCTCACCACTGACTTTTTGAATTCTGTACCCTGAGAAAGCAAAGGCCTTTATATGGACGAGTTATTGATGTGCTTTTGGAATATTTCTTGTTTTTGGTTGAGCACCTGTGGGAGAGGTTTACCACAAGTGGCTTTCCTGTTAGTCGATGACAGCTTCCACTTTCCCAGAGCCATAGGAATGGCTTTTTGGCCCCTTTTCCAAACTGTGATGTGTTAATATATGATATCTTTTAGTATTTTTCTTGTTTTAGTTTGTGTTTAAGTGGTTTGTCTTCTCTGTCACTGACTGGGCTTTGGTGCAAATAATGAAACTGAACAAAAAAAATGTTTGGTTACTGACTGTAACTATTAAAACATCTAAACTCCTGGTGCAGCTTTGGATCATCTATACCACCACAGTATCGCTATTTTCCTGATTTTCTTCATCGATCATCTTGAATCCAGCCTTATGGAAGTCATGAATGATCAGACTCTAAATGAGGAGGATGCTCTCGGCACAAAGAGTGTGTCAAAGACAAGGGAGGGAGGGGTATGAAGGTGATAGTGGGGAGGGGGGTTGAGTAATGCTGAGTGTCGTCAGTGATCTCCGTCACTGTGACTCACACAGAGACAAGAGCCAATAGCCTATTTTTCCTTCTCCTCCTGCATCCCTACTTTTTCCTCCTCAGTCCTGGTACCACTAGCCAGTCATTCTCTCTGCACAAAGCCAAGGATCAACAGCAGCCTCCTCCTCTCTCCCTCTCTCTCTCACACACCTCTCAGTTGCAGCTGAGCTCAGCCAGCACTAACAGAAGCTCTAAAGAAAGCAAACACACAAAGAAAAGAGGCTCAGGATGCAGATGAGTGTCTCCAGCATGCCGGCAGTTACCTCCTGCCGTCACCTCCATGCTGCCTGGAAGCTGACTTTGCCCCTACTTCTCCTGCTGCTCCAAGGCAGAGTCATCAAAGGTGTCCCCTCTCCTTTCCAGCTGGCTCCGGACACCCCTGCCCCGGCCGAGCCCACACCGACCCAACCCACACCTCGCCCGGACCCCTGTGAAGGCCGGCCCTGTCTCAACGGGGGACTCTGCCTTGCACTCCCACCTCCGCTCAGGCTGGAGAACAGCTGGGAGTACACATGCACCTGCAGCCAGGGGTTCACTGGACGCAACTGTGAGGTATGAACCCACCAAACCTATCCGTGTACTTATTTGCATAAGGTTTGATTGCAACACACATTCTGTTGTTTGTAAGTGGATTTTTAATAGAATAGGAGCATGTGTGGTCACTGTGACATGGAGTGGAGTGCCGCGTTGCTGTGGAAACAGGGAGGAAGAGCAGCAGCAGAGAGAGATGCAGGAGAAGTCTGTGAGTGTGTTTGAAAGAGAGGGACAGAAAACAATATTTACACAATGTTTATTTAACTAAAAGCTACATATTGATGAGGGATTTTTGGTAAAAGTTTTCTTTTTTGAGCTTTCTGTTCAGGGTTGCACAAAGTTGCAACAGATTGATGCAGATGCAGAGTCATTTATTTATGAATTTATTAACTAAATGAGGAGATGAGGCCAAAGGGCCGTCTCTAACAAGAATCCTTTAGTTTCCTGCTGGGCTGTCATGATGAAATGAATAAAAAGCAAACTGGGTTGGTGTTAAACTCCCAAGAATACCAAACAGGTCAGATCTTAGTACCCGCGAATTAATTTTATGTATTAATGGTCTTCAATTTTCACCAAAACAGCCTAGAAAATTCTGCAACATGTATTTTATTGACAATTTTGCTCTCCTGTAAGATAATAATCTCATTTATTGAGCTGCTTTTATTTTTATCAGCTCGTCTATAATTTCCAGGGTTGCTAAAAGCTCTGCTGCAGACCTCTTTTATTCTGATAGCTTCTCATTGATGTTCTCATAAACCTGCTCCATTGCTCCCTGGCTGTGTGAGCTTTATTTGAGGCTTTTGAAGAGTTTTGCCAAACGTCACTACGGCACTTGGCTTCTGAGTCATGCTAGGCTGAGGTGAGCGAGAGCATCCATCAGTAGCAAGGAGGGGGATGAGCAAGGCTGCTGCAGCAGAGGAGAGGGAGACGGCAAGGTGACTGGGTTTTAGCTAAATCCTCCAACAGGTGGCAGATGAATTCCTCCACCCTCTTCTTCTTGTTCTCTATATGTTTTTGCATAAAGTGCTGTTGTGAATATTACTGTGATTTCTTTTTTTTAAGATCCAAAAAGGGTCAAATGTTACATATAAGCTCAAATTTACACTTAACTTCAAACAATATTCTGTGAACTGAACCTCATTCGTTTTGGAGCAATCAAAACTCTTCTGGTATAACTCCAGCAGAAACATTTTAACCACTGCTCTGAAATGATCTGACTTTGTGGTACAGAGCAGATGCCGTAGCTTGATCCATACGTTTTTCCGTCACTGTTGAGGCAAGGACTTCTCTGAATGTAAGACCCCTTTAGCGAACCAGTTCTGATGCTTGTTTGGATCTCTGTCCCAGAGGAAATCTGTGCCAAAAATTTCCAAGTAGCCTGATCACCATCATACCTTACAGATGGTGAAGTGATGTTAGATTTGAAAGCCTCTTTTTGGCAACTCCATCAATTTTGAAATGGTGCCAAACAACCTCAGTCTTTTCCCTTGTTATCATGAAAGGTTTCTCCAGAAGACATGTAGTTAAATCCATTAGGCCAATGAAAATTCTACTCTTTTCTTCCTCTGAGGATGAGTCAGATGAACAAAATTGGGCTTTATAACAGAACCACACATTAAAAATGTTTTTGGACCATTTAAAGCAGGTTAAAATTAGACCTAAAGAAATGTTTTGTTGTGATCCAATGGATAATTTGCTAGTTTTTATTCATGTGCTTTGCTCTTAGCTCTCCTTCATTCTCTGGTACTTAAGTTTTAGATGTACTTTTATTCATTTCCTATGCTCCCAAGGGAATAATCTATTTTCCCTCAGAGCCTTCAGAATCAGAATCAGAATCAGAAATACTTTAATAATCCAAGAGGGAAATTACTTTTGTTACATGGTCCAGTTACAGTTTTATATATATATATATATATATATATACACACACATCCAACTACACTAGATAATAAATATAAAAATAAAAATAAAACAGATAAAATATATGCACATATAGTTCTTCTGTATATATATATATATATATATGTATATATATCATATGTAAAACTAAATCCAAGTAAACTGAAAATCCAAGTAAAGTGATAAATCCAAGTAAAGTCATAAAGCCTTTTCTCATTGTAGGTTTAAGTTAGAGTAATCTTTTACCTATGCCACTGATTTCCTTTCTTGAGATTTACTAGCTTCTCTGTTTCTGTCATCCTTTGTCAGATTGTCTTGATCTCAGGTTAATTTCCATTCACTACTCCATTTTCTGTGGTTCTTCCTTCGATTCGTAAGTTGAAGAAGTTTGTGCAAGAAAGATATACTAAATGTTATAAAAGGTTTTCACATATTTCAGCCTGTAGAGTAAAGAAAATCATCAATTAACTCCCAGAGCATTTTAATTAAAAACAACATTAAATCTTGTTTTCTTATCATTGCAGTCTCAAATGTTTTTTCAGACCCACAGTTAATAGGACATTTCTGCCTGTCATAATGCTTCCATGAAGCTTTGAAATCCTTTATGGAGCTGTTTCTGTCTCAAAGGGAGGCTAGCTCTTTAACCAGCTTCAGAAACACTGCAGCCCTCATATTTAACAGCATGTGCACCACAGTGATTCTTTAAAGAAGGTGAGCAACCATTTGTGCTTGAGCTGGTTGGGAACGTTTCTGTCCTGCTGCATAAGCAACAATATTCCACCTTAATGCTCCCCTCATGCACCAGTGGAGCTCAGGTCTGCAACAAGCACTAAGTTGGGACTGAAGGGAATCATCGATTTTTGTTTTGCTCCACTTTTCACTCCATTTCTTTACCATGAAAACCGGAGCAGCTGTCAGTTGAGGTTTTAGTAACCGACCTGAGTTTTCTCTGCAAAACACAGCAGATATTTCAGGGTTACTTTGGGAGGTTATCCACTGCAGAAATATCAGATCCTAAACAAATAGTTAAATTATGAAGAAAAAGTCTGCAGATTTCAGGGACCTTTGCAGCATTATTAAACTTTCCTGGCTGCTACACAAGCTTTGTGACTTTCCTGTGCTTCATACTGAAGAAATCATCAAAGCAGCCGCATGCAGACCACGGCGGCGGGCACCATGAGGGAAAACAAAACCCACTCTCCTTGTTAAACTCGCTGCTTTTTAATAACCGCCAGCACTGTTTTCTGGCCGGCGGCCCCTGAGCTGTCCAGTTGGAATTCGCTGCCACTGGCCTTTCTCTGCATTATTAGCTCCTCAGCCTCTGAGTTATTCATTATTGAAGGCCTCGTTCTGCTCCCCTGATGGATTTGGTTGTTTTGTTCTGCTGCGCAGTGAAGCCGGTGCTGCACAAAACAGTAATTTGTTTTTACAGCAAAAAGCCGAAAGCAGGGTTTACTGGTTAGGTTTATGTAAGCAGCAGATCACAGCAGAATCTAGAGTCTATGTTTAGAAACAGGTTTTCTTTTCTGGCTTTTTGCAGTTAAAATGATAAAATATATAAGCAGTTTGTTAGATTTTTCCCGAACTCATCAGTTCTGTGATGAGTTGGATGTTTTGGGGTCTCTTTCTGATGATCCTTTATGATCTTTAATGGGATTTTGTTTTGTATTTTCCCCTTTTTTTGCTGTATCAGGCTTATATTAGATGCTTACCAGTTTGGGGGGATTTTTTTCTGGTAGATGAAATTTACACTCACAATGAAAACAGAATGAAGTATTGAATTAAGAAATAATATTTTTTTCATGCTCAGAAGAAGAAAAATGCTTGTTCTACTTTTTGTGAGTCACCAAAGACTTTAACTGATAAGCTTCTAGTATTTTATCTACTTTTGAGGATAGCCAATAACACAATAATAATACGATCAGTACCAATAGGGAATACGTTCAATATAATATTATATAACTACACTGAACTCTAATCCAGGACCGCAGAGCATCCTGGGAGAAGTAGGCAGAGGAAATTATGTAGCCTCTTCAACTCTTATGACGGATTTGGCCCTTTTTTTCCTTGGTCCTTAAAATAAAAAAGCTATTCAATAATCACTGATAAGGACTTAAATGAAAGGATTGTATCTTAATTTGTTTTTCGGCCATATTGCACAACCCTACCCCAAGCTATGATTTGAATGGCAAAGCTAAACCTGATGATGATTGATTTCAGAACATTAACTGGTCTGATAATTGTCCTGATTTTTTTGATATTTTTGTCTAATAGCTTTTCACACAGACTGCATGGAGTTCAGTCCATGCAATCTGAACTCTCTTTCTACCTCTTGTGTCGTCTGTTGACTTGAATGATGGTGGTGGTTTTGGTCTGTCGTCAAGGTGAACGCATGGCTGGGTTTAAATTTGGTAATTTAACTCCACCCTCTTCAACAACCACCTTTATTTGTTCTTTGGTTATTTGACTCGAATGTTTTGCTCTAGGTGCACACAATTCATGTCAAAGGGTTTAAAGGTGGAGTTAGATTAAAATATGCAAATAGAAAGATCAAAATCAAGAGATGGATGAACACAGAAAGTGAAAAGAACCCCGACAAATTGGCTCAATTGGCTCATGCCCTTTGTGATGTCATCAGAGGTACGTATGTGCAACAAGAAGCTATTTTAATGCAGGGATGACTTCATCCTGATTAAATCACTGCAATGCTGCAATGAAAGCGGTTATGAGCATAAGCTAAATGTTACGTGTTGAACTGATTCACCAAGTAGATGTAAAGAGTGTTTCATTTTTTTTGTAAACCGAATAATATATTTAAGAGGTTTCCATTCTGTGACTATGATATTTTTCTTAGTTTTTTTTTGTGGTTCTGGAATAGGACTGCTGTGGTGAAGAGGGAGCTGAGTCTGGGGGCAAAGCTCTCGATTTACTGATCGATCTACGTTCCCACCCTCACCAATGGGCTTGGGGTCTGGGTAGTGACCGAAAGGACAAGATCGCGTATACCAGCGGCCGAAATAAGTTTCCTTCACAGGGTGGATGGGCGCACCCTCCCCTGGAGGGACTATGTCTCTGAGCTGGCCTTGTGGATGGATGGATGGATGGATGGATGGATGGAT